CCAAGTAGAGTGACTGGGGGCAGGGGAGCCCAGGGTCTACAGCAGCAGCTTCTGGGGTCAACCCACCTGTTTCCTCAGCTGTTAACTGGCTTCCCGTAGGAAGAGTAGGAGTATAGAAGGGATTGTGCCTCTGGTGACAGTGGCAATATGTATGTCTGTGTGACTGTGTGTGTGTGACTATGACTATGTGTATGCAACTGTGTGTGTGTGCGTGTGTGTGTGTTTGCAGGATTGTATGCCTGAGTGTGGAGAGAGCGACTGTGTCTCTGCACAATCCAATGTGTCCATGAGCTTGAGGGTGTGTCTGAGTGTGCAGCTGTATCTTATGCCTGCCTCTCATCTAGTTCTGAACTCAGCTAACTGTAATAATAACTAGACCGACGTAAAATGATCACGAACATAATCCACACACCAACTTAAATCTAACAGAGTTCTAATATGAACAAACTCTAACTCAAATTTAATTCAGCAATAAAAATGACACCTGAACTCCAATCTCACTTAGTCCTGCACACTAACACTAAGATATTTCTAATAATAATATCCAATCTCTGACTCCTCAATGTATCCTAAATCTACTACTAATTAAAATCAACCCAAATTTCCCAGATTGCTTTTAAATTCTAAATCCAATCCTGGCTCTACCTGAACCTGAACCCTAGTCATAGCCATAACCTGAACCTTAACCATAACCTTAATTATGACCCTTTCCAGACCTCTATCATATGCCTGAACTAACCCAACCTTGGTCAAATCCTAACCCAGCTGTCGGTATTTTAGGAATGAGCTCATCTATGTTCTGAAACTCTTCAGCCACTTCCTGGAGTGATGCAAGACATAGGCTAACAGGAAGGGATATTTGCCTCATCGGGGTCAGTCCCCATCTTTGGCATGAGTGGGTTCTGAAGATGATCTCTTGGGGAAAAGGAGAGCAAGTGTAGACTCACTGGTCATGAAGAACCTTGAAAGGACAAGAATCTAGAAACACTTATAGCCAAACTAGCTCTTACCTAGTTTTTCTTAGAATCGGCCTCATACAAGTACAGAGGCAAATAAACCTATGTTACTGTAGCTGGTAACATCTAGGAGCTTTCAAACGTTGGGGACCCAAGGCAGCTCAATAGCAGCCTGAACCTGACCTTGGCTCTGGTTCTAGGTCTAGCCCTAGATTGCCCCCAGGTTCCTGACTCCATTCTGCAAGCTTCCTTTTCACCCCCTTTTTAGTGTCTCAAATAATGACAAGAGACCCTCAAGCCAGAGGAACATCTACCTTTACCCACAGTGACAAGAGTGAGAAAGTGTCCTCTTCATCTCTTCATAGTCAGTCCTAAATAGCCTCTCCCAGCTGCTCACGGATGCCCCTGCCGGGGACAGCAGAATCGGCTCCAGGTCCTTCTGAAAGACACCTTGACTTCTTTGTTGCGGAGGCTGTAAATGAGCGGGTTGAGAGCTGGGATGACGAGGGTGTAAAACACAGATGCCATCTTGTCGGTGTCCAGGGCATAGCTGGAGCTCGGACGCAGGTACATGAAAATGAGTGTCCCATACAGCATGGCCACGGCCATGAGGTGGGAGCCACAGGTAGAAGCTGCTCGCCGGCGGCCCTCGGCGGAGCGCATGCGGATCACAGCCCCAGCAATGAAACCGTAAGACACGACAATAGCCAGCACTGTGGCTGTCTGGATGAAGCCACACACGGCAAAGAGGAGCAGTTCATTGAGGCTGGTGTCGCTGCATGAGATGGCCAGCAGCGGAGGGATATCGCAGAAGAAGCTGTTGATTTCGCGGGAGCCGCAGAAGCTCAGGTGGAAGGTGAAGGTCGTGTGGACAAAGGCACTCAGTGCCCCGCCCAGGCAAGATGCGCCCAGCAAGGCCAGGCATAGGCGCCGCGACATGGCTGTTGTGTAAAGAAGAGGGTTTCCAATGGCCATGTAGCGGTCATAGGCCATGGCCGCCAACAGGCAACACTCCGCATCAGCCAGCCCAGCAAACAAAAACATCTGGAGGGCACAGGCTGCGTAAGGGATGGTGGCGTGGGGCAACAGCAGGTCCACCAGCATCTTGGGGCCGATGGCTGAGGAATAGCAAGCATCCAGCAGGGAGAGGTTGGCCAGGAAGAAGTACATAGGTGTGTGGAGCCGGGAGTCCACGAGGATCAGCAGCGCCATGCCCACATTTCCCAGCAGGCTCACCAGGTAGACGGGCAGGAAGATCAGGAAGAGGGTCAGGCGCAGGTCCCAGCGATCTGTGATGCCCAGGAGGATGAATTCAGCAGGGGCCGCCCTGGCCCAGGTGAAGTTCTCTATAGTCATCCTGCTGGACAGAGTCTGTGGAGAGGCAAAGCAAAGGGGAGAGAGAGAAAGGTCATGACCAGCGTGGAGGAGAAAGCACCGTGTGTACTGGGAGTCAAGTAGAGTTAGGTTTCAGTCTTTTAACTGTGTAACAAAATTGCTGTGTGATCTCGGGACAAGCCACATGATGTCTCAAAACCTTTGTTTCTAACGCTGAGACGTGACTACAACTTATCCTCCAAAAAGGCAGGAGTCGTGTCTGTCGAATTCACTTTTGTATCCACAGTTCTGAGAACATTGCCTGGCACATAGTAGGTGCTCGATAAATATTTGTTAAATGAATGCTGAATGGAATGATAGTGTCTGGGCAGAAAGAGTCTCCTGATCTAAAGGGGAACTCTCGTGGGTCTTGAGTTTTGCTGGGAGGACATCTTTCCACTGGAGTAAGACCTGGGAAAGGAGAGAGCAGCAGTGGCTGGAGGTAGGAAGGAATGGAAAGAATAGATTTGAATGTATTCTTGGACCAGACTCCTCACTTCTCTGAACCTCAATTTTCTCATCTGTGTAATGAGAAAAAAAAAGCTGCAAAGTTTCAATGAGATAATGCATGCAAAGCATTTCACACAGGGCCTGGCACACAGTAGGCATTTAAGGAAGGTTTGGTGAATTAAATTGAATTGAGCTAGAT